AACCGGTCATTGTGACCACTCCCACGCAAATTCCTACGACAACAAGGCCAAGAACGACCATGGGTCCTAAGCAACGTCAAGGTTTCCGTTTCTTTTCCAAACATAACAAAAACGGTTTAATATTAAAAAAATATTTTCAAAAATCATTTTTTATTTTTAAAAATATGTCAGTGACATTTTTAATGGGTTAACGGACAAACTTAACATTCTGTCACGGCTTGACCCATTTTGAGTAACGAAATAAAACAGTAAGCACCAAACTGGAACAAAATAAATATTAAGCACCAAACTGAAAAAATAGACATAGGTTGGACACCTTTTGTATACTTTAGCCTTTTTTTCAACAACAAAGATAATTTGAGGTCCCTTTAGGTTCTATTTGATAATAGTAGTTTATTTTTTTATTTTTTAGTATTTGATTGATATAAAATAAATCAACTGATATAATTTGTTTTACTAATTAACATAATTTTTATAATTTTTATAAAGGGTTTTACGGATTTGTATTTTGTAAAATATTTTTTAAATAATAATATTGGTGTAATTAAATATTAATTAAACTATTCTAATATTTTAAAATATTATGAACGTATTTTATTAGATTTTAGGGGTTATTTTACTCTAATTTTCTTTATTTTTCTTATGTCGTTAGTTTTTCTTTTTCTTCTTTTTTTTATAACCAACTGCAATACAAGTCATAGCGTTGATGGTCGATATTCATTATTTTTTTTAAATCTTATAATATTGTATCTTTGTTTTTTTAATTTTTAGTAATTATACCTTTATGGCACGCTTTCTATGCCTTTTGTCACGTTTTCAGTCATTTGACTATTATTTTTCGTTTATCTTTTTTTTATAGTTGAATTTGACATTGCAACGACTAATCAAGATGATAATCATTTGTTTTATTGTTGGTCTTTCTTGATTTGGTCTCTCAAATTAGATATAAATATGTTATTTACGTTCATGTATAGTTTCTCACGTCGCTCAATTCTGATTTATTGTTTGTCGGTGGTCTTCAATATTTGACCCTTTTTGTAGTTTATTTGTTGATGCAGTCAGATATGTTCATATTTACCTTTTATTTGAGCTTATTGTATTAGATTTTTAATATTTTCCTTATATAATCATTTTTTGATATTAAGTGACTAGTTTCATATGTTAACGATTATAGAAAAATATTATTATTATTATTATTATTATTATGTGTTTTAGTTTACGGTTGTGGTTGTAGATTTTTATTGCGATTTAATTTTTTTTCTATTTTTAATAAAACTAATTGTTTCTACTTATAAAAAATATTTTAAAATAAAAATATTATATTTTTTATAATCAATAGTATTATTTATAGAAAATAATTTATAAAAAAAATTACGACCAATAAAGAATGATTTACATGGCATCATCTAAACACAAAAATAGTTTTCAGAATCCATTTTTTTAAAAATATTTCACGAAATAACTTTCTAAAAATCCAAATACAGTGAATCAAATGAACCTTAAAATAGTTTTTAAATTGATAAAAAAAGTCACTCTAGCATTTTAATTAGCGAAAATTGTCACTGAATATTACAATACCGGTAAAAGTTAAAATCTTATATAAATTGTAGTATATATCCACATATAATATTCATGTATGATAATCGAATCTTGAATTATTTTATATATTATTAATGAATTATATTAAAAATATATTATTTAAAAAATTATAATATTTCATCATTTAATTTATTAATAATATTAGTATATTATAAATATAAATTTATAATAATAAATATTTTTTAGTAAAACCCAAATCCATTATCATACCCAAAAAGACCTTATCCGTTAAGAATGTTATAGCCCTCATCTAAGCCCATATCCAATCCAAATTAGGTTGTATCGGTCCAATCTTTTTCCTTTCCTTTTTCCATAACCCTCTAGACCCTATCATCGTCCTTTTAATTGCCTCACTGGTATTCGATCTATTGACCAGCTAATTCAGATCGGGTACTGCAGAAGTGAGGGTAACCCCTCTCAACCCAATTTGCTCCATTCACAAACGTCAAACCCCTGACCTTGCTTAAGGGACCTCGTGTCTCATCCCACTAGACCAACTGGTTGTTGGTTATATTCGTATTTTTTAATAATATGAAGATGCACCTATTCGAATTTGAATCTTTTAAGAAAAAAATAATTTTTAACAATTTTAAACAACATTCAATATTCGCATGTGAACTTTAAAAAATTATATTAATATACAATCACATACGTACAGGGATGGACCTAGAAGGGGCAGTCGCCCCCAAAAAATTTAAATTTCTTATATATTATATATATTTTATTTGTATTTTATATTAAAAATATATTTTCACTACTAAAATTTTATAAGTTCACACATACTTAAAAATTTATAAATTCACCCCTATTAATATGAAATCCTGCGTCCGTCCCTGCATACGTAGATTTGCAACGTATGAACTGTGTGTCAAAGAAAGAGTAAGTCATTGTTTGAAGCTGAAAAGGACAACAAAGAAGCAAAGATATAGTTTCAAAAGAAAGAAAGATATAGTTTCAAAAGAAAGAAGATGAAACAATGGTTGTGGCTAGAAAAATGAACGATGACGGAGGCTGAAAAGAAAGAAGAATCCAGAGTAAACTAAGGAGAAGAAAATGATAGAGGAAAATAAGTAAACATGTAACGTGGGAAACAGTCTAGGGGAGCCAAATGCTTAGTCTCACATTAACGTCCAGCGATCGAATTGTTATAAATCGATATATTAGTTCAAATCGTTAGTTTTAAAACATCAATGAGAAAAAGATAAATTTACTTAAACATAAGTGACCATTTATATAGTTTATCCATGTTTTTTTAATTTTAAGTATTAGAATAGATAATTTAAACATACTTTTGTGTTAGTATAACATGTAGAAAATATATAATGTACATTAATTTATTTGATTGATCCTAAATCTTAAAATGATGGGAAGAGCCTACATAATAATTTCTCCCAATAATGCATGAACAAACCCAAAGATGAAGGGATTTGAGTGGGTTGAAAATCTAAGAATTATCTCTTAAATATTCGGGTGCTGGGTGCACGGTTCTAGAGACTGGTTATCAAAATAATTCTTGGCTTCTTAATAAATAAAAAAGAAAAGATAATATAGAGAAGCAACGTCGATCCACAGGGACTGTGGTGTTTCTGATTTAATAAAACTCTTTCTTGATTTTAGAAGGAGATAAAATTCCAAATGAAGTTAAAAATGTATAATAAAATAAATTAAATAATAAAAAAGGTAAAATAGTATAATAATATATATTAATAGTAATAAATATAAAAGAGGATTTTAAAAGTTGTTTTTAAAATAAAAAAAATAATAATTTAAAAAAAATAATTAAATAAACAAATTAAAGAGATTGAGATAAAGAGAAAATTATTGTGAAAGCAGCCTCATACTTCAGCTTCGCCTCAAATTCCTCAGATCATCGAAACTGATTTTTACTTCAAGATTCACGTCGGCTTACAAGGACAATTCTTCGATGCCAACTCGGATTGCGTCGTTTTAATACTAACTTATTTCGATCTCAGTTTCCTATTAGCAAACAATTTTGCTAAGTGTGCTCTCGGGAAGTTGAATATGTTTCAATAAGCAAATCTTCTTCAAACGTTAACCATAACAATATCAAGACCAATGTCGAAATCGTTTTGATTTGAAAAGTGAGCTCAGAAAACAAAGAGAAAATCCAAAGCGATTTAAATATCTTACAATTCTCACGTTTGGAATTAAGCCTTCACTTTACTCTTCGGCTTGAAAGAAAATTAGCTAAGCATGACCAAAATCATACTTAACATAATAGAAAAATATGCAAAAAAAATAGAGAGAAAGCTAAAGAGAAAAAGAAGATTTTATTCTCAAATGAGAGAGATACGTTTTTAGACTCACCCTTAAAGGGTATTTATAACCTTCAAATTCCTAAAAACAAACTAAAACATCTTAAATCCTAATTAAAACACTTAAAACTATTTAAACTAAAATACCTAAAAAATAATATAATATTCTAATTCTTAATTAATATACTAAAACCTGTTTAAACTAAAATACAAAGATAAAATATAATATTTAAAATATTATCCTCAACTTGAGTTTAATTCAAATCCGAATTCTAGACAACTTTCCGAAAATAAAAAAATCTGCAGAATTATGCCTTTTTTGATTCCGAAAATGAATTAAAATGAACAAAAAAACCACAAAAATCAATGATTAAGGATAATTTTAAAGTAAAATATTAACTAAATTAAGTAATTATCATTTTGGCAACAAGAAAAATGGAGGGAGAGACAAAAAGATAACCGGCAAAAAAAAGTTGAATTTTAAGTCGACATTTAAATTACGATTGCGACCAAATTTTAAGTTACATCGTGTTTATCGTGATTATAGTAATAGTAGTGTTATTACAATTATTGTAGTTATCGAAATTGTGATAATACTATATAACAACTATTGTTCCGATAGCAAATTGATATTTAAATACCTGGTTCTAACCTTTACAAGAGGTCATCTGCTAAGAAAAACTCACTGTTTTTGAGTAACCTATACCACTTTTTATTATTTTAAATGAAAGAAAATAATCACTAAATTATTACACAGAAAAGTACTTTCTTTTAGCAGGAATGTCAGGTTGAGGTTAAGTGGTCACACGACAACTGCCTTATTTTCTCCAGTTAAATTACCCATCTTATTATAATCTCTCTTCCTTGTCTTTATACACACTGTGTGTCTGTTGCTTGTTGCACTCCTTTTTAGTAGAATTTTTCAGGGGCTTTATCTTTGAGAACCCCCCCCCTACATTGGTGCTGCACCTATTTGATTAATGTTCCCCTCATTTTGCAGAGCCAAATTAGAATCTTTTTAGAATTACTGGTTTCTGTTTGTCTTCTTCTCCATCTAAAGAACCTCGCATCCTTTTTTTTTCATCATTTTCTGATACAAGTTCCTAAAACAAAGAAAAAGACTCTTGATTTGAGGCGGGTTTTATTTATTTTGGGCCATGGAAGCAGCTTGCTGTGATCTTGAAGCAGATATTAATGGAGTGGAGACATTCCTGCTAAACAAGGTAATAATTATGTTCTCTAGCTGTTTGTTATAAAGTTCTCTTTTTTTAGAGGGTCAAAAAGACCATCCTTTTTCAAGGGGTTTCTTAGTCAAAATGCCAACTTTGTTTTTGTTTTTCATTCAATCTTCTTGTGTTTGTTTTGTTGTTGTGAACTCATAATGTGTGATTCAGTGCATCAAATTCATAGGTTTTAGCCATGGTTTTTGCATTCTGTGACTGAAATTTTTAACATTTAATTTCCCACCTACACTGCAAAGATGTGGGTCATAAGTTCAATTAGCCCCAAGTGTGTAGTGCTTTCTGTTTTGTTTTCTTTCGCCTCCCCCCTTCTCATTTATTGCTGTTTGTTTCGGTGCTCAAGTTTTGTTTTCATTCACAACTTTTGTGCTGGTTTGTGCCACTAAGGTTGCTTTCATAATCATGGCTATTGAATACTGTTCATCTCCCTTTTTTGCTGGGGATGATTAGTTCACATCTTTGCTATTTATTAAGGTTCGTGAATTCACCATCTAATTCCTCATTTTGTCTGGTGATTGGCAGAAAATTATATGCTCATTCTCAGGCAGGCTGAGCAAATTACTTAGCAAATCCACAGGTGCCAACAGGAATAAAGTGATCTTCCATGATTTTCCTGGCGGGGCAGAGAATTTTGAGCTTATAGCAAGGTTTTGTTATAACAATGGAGAACTCGATATAACTCCTTCAAACATTTCGTTGTTATACACTGCTGCTGAATTCATGGAGATGAATGATTCTGTGTCGGGAAACTGTAATCTATTAGAAAAAACGAAGAAATGCATCGAAGAGATCGGGTACTGGACTTGGCCTGATCTTTTGGTTGCTTTGAAGCATTGCCAAGATTTCCAGCAGGTTGCTACTTCTTCGGGGATTCTTGAGAAATGTTTGGATTCCATCGTTGGGAGGTTGGCTATCACAAGTGAAGCAAGTCCTTGTGCGTCTACCTCGTCTCCGGATAGCTCGGGATTTCGGATTTCCTGCGATACTCGAAGTACGGAGAGTTTGAAAAACAGTTTCTCTCGAGCGAATTGGTGGTTCGAAGACCTTTCTGTTTTGAGTCCCGATCTGATCGAAATGCTGGTAAAATCTATGATTTCTCGGAAGTACAATCATGTGATCATCGGTCGGTTCCTCGTCTATTACCAGAAGTCGAGGTTTTCCACCACATTGTCTGATGAGAAACGCAAAGTTCTAGAAATTGTGATCGATATGCTTTACACTCTTGATCCGAGTTGCGTTCCATGCAAGAGTTTGTTCGGGATTCTTCGTGTGGTTCTGGGTTTGAACATAAGCAAAAGTAGCAGGAACAAGTTGGAGAGTATGATAGGTTCTCAGATGGATCAAGCAAAATTGGACAACCTTCTAATCCCATCCCCATACGGGACAAGTTATTTGTATGATGTGAATCTTGTCCTTCGGTTTCTGAAAGCATTTCTGCGTCAAGGAGGCTGGCGGTCATCTCCAACGCGAACGAAGAAGGTTGCTAGCCTGATGGACCTGTATATCACAGAAGTAGCTCCGGATCCTTTCCTAAGATCATCGAAGTTTCTAGCTTTGGTGGTGGCCTTGCCGGATTCTGCCAGGGACTGTTGGGATGAATTGTACCATGCCATGGACGTTTATCTGGAGGTACTACTTTGAAACGTTTTATTATAAAATTTATCTGGTGCATTCGGATTAAACATTGTTTCAATAGGTGCATGCAGGGTTGTCTGAAGAAGAAAAACTGAAGATATGTTGTGCACTGAACCACGAGAAGCTCTCTGCGGATGCTTGCATACATCTTTCTCAAAACACGAATTTCCCATCGAAAAGCGTGGTTCAAACGCTCATTTCCCAGCAATTGAAGCTCAAGAACTTGATGCAGGGCACTAAGAACACTGAACTCCACAGGGAATCCCCTTGTAAATTCGCCGAAAACCGAGGCAAGGCAAAGAAAGGTGAAGGTAGTGAACAAATCGTCTTTTATTCCGGGAAATTAGATATACCGGCCGACAACGAGAACCTGAGAGCACATTTACAAGGGATGCAGTGGAGGGTGATTGAATTGGAAAAACTGTGCAAGAAAATGCAGAACCAGATGGCTAGACTCATTAAATCCAAAGTATCAACTCATGGCACTGCAAGATCCTTGCCTAGGCTCTGTTCATGAAAAATCAAAAACAAAAATTTGCATTAATGTTTGCATCTCTAAATTATTTCCTTTATCTACGTATAGCATCGATGTATGATTACAATAACATTTTTCTTTTTCTTTTCTGCATATATATATAATACATTGGAGAATGATATATTGCTTTGTACAGCAGCTGAAAAAGAGAGAACTCTTACCTGTTTAATGAACAAAGTTTTTTTTTTTAATTTCACTCCGATTTTACGAAAATAATATCATCTTTAATGTTCGAATTTAGATTAAATTTGTATGTATTGTGCTTCAAAAATTGGGTCTTTGTCCACAGTCGCTCTCGCACAGGCAAATCGTAACGCAAGCAAGCTGGCATGTTTTTCTTGTAAGGCATTATTAGTAATGACTTTATACCTTAATGGTGTGTTTGGTTCACGGAATGTAAGATTATCAGCAGGATTAAAAGATTACCGGGGAATAAAATTACTGATAATATTGTATTTTGTGTTTTTACAGTATTTGGTTAAAGAAATAAAATATTATTAGAATGTATATTTTACCAAATTGTCCTTATTATATATTTGTTTTTTAACAAGTTGAATTATACTATAATATTACTACAATTAATTTATATATTTTATTTAAAAAAATTTAAATTCATAAAATTTATATAATTTTTTTACAAAATTGAAAAGATAAATAGGTTTAATGAAATGGTAAAATTTTATTTTAACCCCTAAACTTCTTATAAAATTTTAATTATAGATTTTTTTTTGTAAATTTAAAATAGTTTAAAGATAAATTTATAATTTAACCTTCGTAGAATTTTTATTATTCAATTACAGAAGAGGGATATTTTCGAGAAAAAAAATTTAAGGGCATTTTAGTCCAAAACGTCGGTAATCCAACAATACCAAAGGGAATGGATAATCACATTCCCAGTAATATATCCAAAACAATATATTGTTAGTAATAAAATATTACCGGGAACTGGAAATGTTGGCCAACCAAACGGGAGAATGAAGATTCAATTCCCCCGGTAATAAAATATACCTTCAACCAAACACCCCTAACTCTTACCTTAAAACAACAACAACAACAAAACACTATTCTCATATGCAATGTGGTAAGGGGGAGGTAGGGTAGTAGGCTGCCCCCAGCGTCAAGTTGAGAGCAGCTTCCGTGGAAGACCTCCGGCAGTCAAAAAATTAAAAATAAAGATAAAATGCAATGCATGTATAAATAAATAAATAAATACATAGTTGAAACAACCTTCATATGCAGTCTACATATGCGCGTCTGTAATGGGAAGTAATCATTACAAATAAATCCCTGAGTAAAAAGGCTCGACATATAGACAGAAACGTAAGATCCAACTAAAATTAAAAAGAGGAAACCTGAAGAGAATGATACACAGAAGTCAACGATAGCAAGCAACAAGAAGAAATAAAGTCAAACGGGTTAAAACCTAAACTAAGGTAACACTTCTCCGCTACTCTAGTTTTAAACCTTTAAAAATTTCAATGACAGAAACGTATAAAAAGTAGAAGTCATTGAAATTTATACAAAGACATTAAAAGAAGAAAGAGATGATACACCCTATGAATGTGACCCGCACTACTCGACTACATTAATCTTAAGTCATCATATTTTCTTATTAGAAGTCATGTCCTCTAATTCGTCCTTAAGCTATGAGGTTTAATGTTAATATATTTGTCTTTGTTGAGAACTAGTCAACTAACAGAACCAAAAATCCCACATATCTCTTTAGATTCCGAAAAATGTCAGTTTAACAGTTGACTTGATTGCCCCACTTTAATTTGATGACGGTGGACCATGCAATTTGACAGTACATGCACGCACCACCTCTCAAGAAAAAGTTATAAAAGAACCACGATGATGTTAACGATTCAGTACCCATAAGCTCTATATTTTTTAAATACGATTTCAAATTGAAATCTTTTAAATTAATATGCTATGATTTTATAAGTGAAAGATAATTAAAATAAGGTATACAATAATTAATATCTTGAATATAATTCATATTCATGAGGACATGTGATATAATTAACTCATATATATATATATATATATTTAAATATTACACCCTTATTAATTAGATTAAGTTATCTAATTTGATTTAATCAGTTTAATTATCAATTTAGAGGGATAAATTGATTTAATTTTTAATTAATAATTTGTTTTATACCCAATCCAATCCAATTCACTGCCATTACACAATACCCAGCCCAAGTACTCAATCCAATAAATAAAATACCCAAAAATGTTTTATATACCAAACCCAATTATTGAATTTAACCTAAAAACTAAAAAATTCCCAAAACAAAAATCGAAATCCCCTCAGCCTTGTAATTTAACCTAAATTACCCACTCCCTTCTCTCCGTCCGTTCACGCACGGTCACACCCAGCGGCCACGCCCGTCTCCCACACCTGTCAACCATCTGCTATTCTGCTCAGCTCTTCCCATCCAGCGACAAAGTCTTACTGTTCCATGTAATTGTTTGTTTATATTTTAAATTTCTACAATAAAATGCTTCTGTTGGTTTCATTCTTCCTATGTAATTTTTTATTTTCATTTTAAAATAAGGGTAGCAATTTTGATATGAAACAAATATGCCTTGGTGGAATAGTAATAAAAAAGTATTTATATTACTTGGAAGGTAAACTCTTTTTTTCATTTTCGAACTTGTTTAAAATACTAACTACACCTCCATCGGTTTATGTAATCTCCGTGTTCACAAACCCTGGAATGTTGTGGAAATTAATGTGGAATATGTATGGCAGATGGGGGAGCTGGCAGTTGACAAACATGTTCAGTACATCGTATCTATTGATAAGGTAAGCTTTAAATTCATTGAACTTTCGTTTTTGATCTACAATTCTAAAATCTTGTTTATCCTAGGTTAAGTTATGTGAAGTTCATAATATTTGGTTGTTTATTGTTAGAAAAAGGATAGTTTTGAATCGGTAGTGATGGACCATCTTAGAATGAATGGGGCATATTGGGGATTAACAACCTTAGACCTTCTGGGGAAGCTTGATTCCATTAACGCAGGTGAAGTTGTTTCTTGGACCATGGAATGCCAACATGAATCTGGTATATCCTAAAGCTTATGTTTTTAGTGTAAATAAAATAATAATATATATTTAAGTTAATTGGATCTTAAGTCATGATAGGAAATGAGGTTGATGATTCTTTCTTGTTCAGGTGGTTTTTCTGGCAATATCGGGCACGACCCACATATATTGTATACTCTTAGTGCTGTGCAAGTGCTTGCTCTTTTCAACAAGTTAGATGTTCTTGACATTGATAAGGTTGCAACTTGTATCCTATCTAATATTCTTTTGATTCGATCACTCGCTCTTCATTGGGGAGTTTCAATTTATCTGTTATAATTTTCCATTTTCTGGATTTCTTTTGACAATGATAAAGTTGCATTTTGTGTCGTATTGTATATGTTTTTATGAAATTATCTACTCTTTGCTGGCGAGTGCTATTATTATGTTACAATTATCCATTTTCCAGAATTGTTTTAAAATGATTTGCATAACTCTGATTATGCTGTTCCAAGTTTTGTTGACTGGTCAGAGTTAGCTATTTAAGGGTAAAGTGTCTTCAGGTGCTTCTTGTTTTTTCTTAAGTCTGTAAGTTAGATATTGCTGGGCTGCAAAACGAAGAAGGATCCTTTTCAGGTGACATGTGGGGTGAGGTGGATACACGGTATATGTTCTTTCTGGATTATATATATTTTATTTTCTGATTTATTATTTTCATGTAAATCTTTTTGTACTAAATTGATTTTCTTGGTTTAGGTTCTCTTATATTGCCATCTGTTGCCTTTCAATATTACGTTGTCTGGATAAAATCAATGTTGAGAAGGCTGTAGGCTATATTCTGAGTTGCAAAAATCTGGACGGTGGCTTTGGATGCACACCTGGTGGCGAGTCTCATGCAGGGCAAAGTATGTTAATATCGTTGTCCACGTGGACGTGTGTAAATTTTTACTTGCATAATCATCATAGCGAAGGTTGCTCATTTTTATGGTTTTAGGTTGATTTACCAATGAGCTTAAAATAAAGCACTCTTAGTAAGAATGATAGATAATCTCTGTTGAAAAATGGGTTGATTTTCTTTGTGCATAATGACTGCAGTTTTCTGTTGTGTGGGTGCTCTTGCCATAACTGGATCTCTACATCATGTTGATAAGGACCTTCTCGGGTGGTGGTTATGTGAGCGGCAAGTCAAATCTGGAGGTCTCAATGGCCGCCCCGAGAAACTTCCTGATGTGGGTATTTCATTGAAGTTTGATTGGAATATTTATCTCATAATATTTTCTTCTTACCTTTTCTCACTTTTCGTCGTGGGCGAATCCTTTTAGGTTTGCTACTCATGGTGGGTTCTTTCTAGCTTGATCATGATCGACAGAGTTCACTGGATAGACAAGGAAAAGCTCGTTAAGTTCATATTGGACTGTCAGGATCTGGAAAATGGTGGAATTTCAGATAGACCTGATGATGCCGTCGATGTCTTCCATACATATTTCGGAGTTGCCGGTATCCACTGTTGTTCTGCCTATTCACCGGCTATTGTTTTATTTTTATTTATTTTATTTATTTTATGAATTCAACGTTCATAATTCTTTTTATGATTCCTGCTGTCGATGTAGGACTTTCACTTCTCGAGTATCCAGGATTGAAAGCCGTTGATCCAGCTTACGCTTTACCCGTCGATGTCATAAACAGAATTTTCTTTGGCAGATAATTGGTTTTGCGTTCTTCCTTAGAAAATTCCATATTTATTGTCACTCCCCATGTTAAATGCCAAAATCTTTGGTTCCACTACATTTTTACATATACAGACTGAACACATAATTTGCACCGTCAAACATATGAATTGTTGAATCTGTAACAACAGCTATTTGTGACTGTTAATTACAAACATATAGTAGGTCACAGCTCTCTTAATTTTGTCTCTTCTAGTACAACGTTAATTGACTGTTTCCACTTTGGTACTTGAACTTTACTAGGTAGGTTTTCATACTTAAAATGTCATTTAAAATTATACATTTAAATCATTGTGACATATCAACATAAATTTCAATGCTTATATATATATATATTGCATTATTTTATGCATTATGTGATTGTTATTTTATATGTTGTGCTATAAAAGTTTGCTTTTTCTGGCAAAGGTTCGGGGTGTTAAGTTTTCATTTAATTGAATAAACTTGTCATTTGTTTCTGAATGAAAGAAGAAAGGCTAAACTACTATATCATTCTTCTAATCGTAAGAAAGGAGGTCCATGGATATCTCTATGAAGAACTCGAAGAATCTCAATCGGGGAGTCAAAAATAGTTGATGAACCATCTTTATTTGGATTTTGGATCATATTTAATCATATAATCTGCCTCGGTTTGCTTCCCTAGTGATCAGTCGGAGCTTTACATACCAGGATTTCTTATAAAGCTCGGCAATGACTATAATTGTGAGAAGGAGCTGGTTGGCATTCTATCCAGTGATGAGAGCAGGTTGAGAACCTAGCTGCCGTTCGTCTGCATTATCACACATTTGAAAGCATTTGTTCATGCTAGTTTGAGATCTTCGTATTCTCTCCAAAGCTCGGCCACCGGCACCGGCACGGGCACGAAAGATACTCAATAATGTGGCTTTATCTTCTATCCAAAGGTGGTGGTTTGCATATGGAATTTCTTTTTCTGTATTGAACGGCGGCTCAATAACTCCGAGGGCATTGTGATTTTCGATTCAGCACCTAGTTTTTGTACTTGTGTTGGAACATGTAAATGCAACGAAGTATCATTATTTATTCCAATATTACCTTTTTTCAAGAGAAAATATTATTAAAAAATAGGTAAATTAAAAGAATAAAAGCAGATCATGATGGATAAGACATGACACAATCTCATGTCAAATAACGTGCACTGTTATTGTCTGTGGAATGTGAAATGCTCAGTCTTTATAACAACTTTTTCATAATTTTTTCAATTGTCAGATATTCCTTTTATTCAATGAGCTGGCCTCATTCTCTCTACTCCCACTATATCTCACAATAATTGTTTCTAAAACCAAAAATTTACCTGTACGAATTAAGTGATTTCATTAAATAAAAATAAAATTACTATTTTAAAAATTTTGAGTTTGCGTATAATATTTATAAAAGTATATAAATGTTTATTATTAAATGATTGGAAGTAATTTAAATAGGTATTGTCTTGTAATTATCTTAAATTATAAGAATATAATTTTTTTATTAAATTAAGCATTTAATGCTTTCTCTATTATTATTTTAAAGTCAATTTCGTCACAGTCATTAAAATAATTCGTTGACCATTCAAAACGTTACACATATCATATTTATAAAAATAAAATCCCTAACATAATCCGCATCTCATAAATTCTAAAACTTAAATCCTTAAATCTCCATTACTCAAATTCATAACCCTTAATCTATGATCTTCGCCTCTTCCCTTGCTTTTATCGATATTTTATTTTATTTTTATTAACTTTTAGTATTATTTTGATTATTCAATTGTTTTACTTTTCATAATTATAATTTGCATGTCAATGGTGAATGTGTGTGCATGTTTACTTAGTTTAATTTAATTATGAAAAAAATAAATTATTAGGTTCTTAATTAAATAATTTGGGAAGATAATTTGATAGAATAACCTGTGTAGCTCTAGACATAAAGATTGCTTGAGAAGAGTTAAATAAAGACGCCAAACTTAATATGATTAAAATATCGTAAACCGTCATACCAGCATAGTTAATTGTCATGTTAAGATCATAACAAATAATATCAATAAAAAAAAGCTAAGATTAATATTATTAAAAATAGAAATAGAAATACTCCTTAATCCCCTGTATGAATATATAACCCTTAAAATTAATAGAAACATGAAGGTAGTAGGAAAAATAATTTTTTCAATCACCATATTATTTCTTGAACTAGGGCTTTTTATTAGTGTGAAGACGCCCTGCACTCCAGAGGTATTCTCAATTTGCTTGAAGACGCTAAACAGTCGTGAAGTCTTCTTCATTTGCCTGAAGTCGCCATACAGAGCACTTGACGTCTTTAAATTGATATTATTCAGTTCGCTCTAAATAGGAAAACAATCCCCGGATAGATTATATTAAGAATTAAAAAAATTCACTTACGTTATCTCAACCAGTTTGCCAGGTTGCTTTGCCATTTTTATTTTTGCTTTTCCAAAGCTAATCATATCTACCACATGGTTAGTTTGCATTAATCTCATCTCCCTTTCCATTACCATCATATTCATGCAAACCTCGTAAGCAACAGCTAAGCAACCTACCATTGTTTCATTCCACATTCCTCGTTATATCTAAGGAAATACAACCTAATATAAGGCGTTACTAAAAATGTTAATATTTTTTTAATATTTACGGTAAAATGTTATCTAAAATATTAATTTTTATCAGAAATATTAATATCGGACGCTACCTAAAATATTACTTTTTATACCGGAAATGTTAATATCGAAAATATTCATTTTAAGTAGCGAAATTAACATTTCCAGTAGAAAAAAATATTTTAGACAACACTTTACCGAAAATGTTAAAAAAATATTAACATTTCTGATAGCTCATTTCCTTATCCTTATATTAGGTTATCATACAACAAAATTACCCGCATTCCTCCGTATCCTAGGATTCTCTTATTATTTATAAAATAAAAAACAGTATAATTGTGCTTAATCATGTATTCAAACAATAATTAAGAAATTAAGCACTCGACTGGACTCCATTACATATTAGCATATTAAACAACGTCTAATATAAATATATTCTGCAACTCAAGCTAAATTTTATTTATGATTTTTTTTTTAAATTTAATTCAAAGTATCTCCTTTGGATCTATTTCTCAAACAACATCTATGAAATAAAAGGCCTTCAAAAGATCCTTTCATTAACTATGGTCTCTAAAATCACATTTCTTTCGATCAATTATCTTCTCTTGACATGTTTAGTAACAAGTTTGTGTGATCTGTCCAAATTAAATCTTTTGTCGTATGACTATATTCATTCAACCTACCAACCTCTGTTGACCATAGTCTTTAGGGTGCGTTTGGTTTACGGAATATAAGATTATCAGCGGGAATAGGATTACCGGCAGGAATAGGATTACCGGCGGGAATAAGATTACTGGGAATGTTGTATTTTCTGTTTGGTTCGTTTAGCAGTAATGTCATATTACATTGTTTGATTAAAGGAATAAAAGATTGTTGGAATATATATTTTACCAAATTGTCTTTATTATATATTTGTTTTTTAACAAATTGAATGCTATTATAATTTCACTATAATTAATTTATATAAATTTTTTTACAAAATTGAAAAGATAAATAGGTTTAATAAAAGGGTAAAATTTTATTTTAACCCCTGAACTTCGTATAAAATTTAAATTATAGACTTTTTTGTAAATATAAAATAGTTTAAGGATAAATTTATAATTCAACCTTCGTAGAATTTTTTTATTCGACGACATAAGAAGGATATTGTTGGAAAAAAAATTAAGTATATTTTAGTCCAAAACGCCGGTAATCCAACAATACGTAAGAGAATGGGGTAATCACATTCTATGTAATAGATCCCCAAAATACCACTATTGGGAATAAAGGATTACTGGAGGTTGGGCGTGTTTGTCAACCAAACAGGATAATGACATTTCATTCCCTCGGTAATATGAGATGATTTGAACCAAACACGCCCTTAAGATTTTAGGTCCTCCAATCAGTTATCTTCTCTGAACATTATTACTAACAATTCAACATAATCTGTCACAGCTAAATCTATTGTTAGACAAACATATTCATTCAACATGCCAACATTCGAGTAGCAATTATGACCTCAATATCAACATTGAAGGTCATATAAAATCCCTTATCCGGGAACCTCCTCTTCTTCTTTTTGTACTTATTTTCTTCATCTCTCCCTTCTTAAAAATAGAACACACTATCTATCCTCTTGAATTGATCACTAGCGTAAAACTACAAACTGTGTAACTCATCGCCCAACTCAAAAATCATAAACTATTTATAGCCACCTCAACTTAAATGCTATTATCAATAAAATTATTTTTATTTTAAAAAATGTATATTTTTTTATTCATATCAATATATATTTTGATGTATTTTAAACAATACCCTCAATGTTCTACTCGGACTAAGATACTAGAACCGTATACCTTTGAAGCACACAACATCCTTTTACTTTTATTCATTTTCAAATTAGTCCTTATTTCGAATGAAATGTCGATGTATATTTAATAGGCATAAGTTAAAGGTTAAAGATTTATTTACACACAAATTAAAGGTTGAGGTTTTTTGTAACAATTAAATTTTAAGAGCATAGTGAAAAGATATATAAAGGAAACTCATGTAGACTAAGTGAGATGACTATCCAGCTCAGTTGGTAGAGCACAAGGTTCTTAACTTTGAGGTCGTGGGATCGAGTCCCACGAAGGGTATTTCATAATTTGGAGGTCTTCTACGGAAGCTACTCTCAACCTGGTGTTGGTCCAGTCTATTTTCTTATCTCTCCCTTACCCCATTACATATGGGAACAAGGGACAACCATTTTTTTCATGTAGACAAAGTGACAAAATTCAAGGACTTGTTTTGTTATTGTAGTGATCAAATCCCTAAAAATACACAAAACTGAAGGCTTAATAGAAATTTAATATTTCCATTTTAAAAATAAGAAAACAAACATTTCTATTTTTTAAAAAAATTGACATTTTCTCAGAATAAATTCTCCCGCACTTTAAACGAAAAAGAATAATGGAGCTCTGTACAGTCCCAGCTGGCACTAACATCAGCAAAGTAACTAAATTAAACACACAAAA